TCTCCTCCTGCTCCTGATCCCCCTCCCCTTCCTTCTGCTCCTCCGCCCCCCCCTCGTCTCTCCCTCCTTCTCTCTCATTTGCCTTCCCACCTGTCGTGAGCCCGATGGCGTGTACGGTATCAGTCGCGAGCTTGAGGAGCCTCCCCCTCGCTGCCTCGTCCAGCGTGACGGGAAAGGAGAGACGATCTCGCGACTTGGAGTACTCCGAGCTGAGAGAGGCCAGAGGACGCAGTAGAGAGAGAGAAGAGGACGGGGAGCGGAGGGAGGGAAGAGAGAGGAGGAGAGCAGGGGAGGAGAGAGGAGAAGCATTCGTCAGTCGTCGGCAGAAAGAGGAGGAGATGAAAGAGGAGAGTGTGGAAGAGTGAGTGAGTGAGGGAGTGAGCGAGGGAGGGAGACCTGAAGCTGTGAAAGATCACTTTTCCATTATGGATCATCAGCTCTAGCTGCACTTCGTTCCCCCCAAGAAGAGACTCCAAGATCATCTGCTGCTCGTCAGCCCAAACGCGAGAGAAAGTGGGAAGGTGGAGAGAGGAAGAGGAAGAGGAAGAGGAGGAGGAGGAGGTGGTGGAGGAAGTGGAGAAGAAGGCGGTGGAAGGGGGAGTACGGGGAGGAGGAGAAGGGGAAGGGGAGTTTCTGTCTTCGCTACCTGCACGCCGTAGACTGGCTTGAGGAAGGCAGGGAAACCGACGTGAGCAGCAGCTTGTGTTGCATCATTCTCAGACTCTATGAGCCAGAAGCGAGGAACTGGAAGCGACTTGCTCTCCATGGCCTTGCGCACCAGGTACTTGTTGCGAGCAGTCTGTGCTGAGTGAGATCAAGAGGTGGTGGTGGAAGACAAGAAGGAGGAGGAGGAGGAGGAGGAGGAGGAGGAGGAGGAGGAGGAGGAGGTCAACGAGTGGAGGGTCATAGACGAGGACAGAAATGAGGAGCAGGAAGAGATCCAACGAGACGAGCAGAGGAAGAGGAGGGCAGGAAGGAGGAGGAGGAAGGGGGCGAGGAGGAGAACCTGAGCTGCCTTCAGCGGGCTGCAAGGAAGCGAGAGGGCTTCGCCAATGAGGGAGACGAGGGGTCCGTGGTCCTCCACTAACGTGAAGACTCCATCCAGCTTCTCCCCCGACGCCTCCAGGTGCCTCCTGACCGCCTGCAGCACAACCTGCGGCTCGCTCACGCTTACTCGCCCGAAGTCCGCGATCCCTATGAACGATCCGACTGCTTGCTCCGACCAGCTTCGCATGCTCTCGTCGTCCACGAGGGTCATGCGCACGTTGAGCTGCCTCGCCCGCCGCAGCGCCGTCGGGGTCCTAGCCCCCCCCACCATGAGGAGGTGACTGCCAGCTACCAGCTCCTTCATCTCCGGGACAGGAGGAGAGTCGAAGAGGTTAGAGGTGAGGATGGAGGCAAGCTCTTGTAGGAGGACGACAAACCCCTCCCTCTGTGCGTAGGAGGCGACGGAGTCGATGGCGATCATTCCGCTCGCCGTCTTGCGCGGCACATACATCTGACAGCTGTGAATGCTCGGCTGGACGAACATGGCGACGACGATGGCAGCGGTCAAAGTCAGGAGGAGGAGGATGCCGAAGAGGGACACGAGCTTCAGGAAACCGAACCTGACGCCGAAGATTTTCATCCTTCTCTACTGATCTTTTCCTGTTATGCTTCCATGAAGAGAAACTCAAATGGCCTGCCCTTGTTCGTTAGTTCAGTACTTGACGAGAAAGAACATCATCGCAATCAGATCATGCCGTCGCATGTCAGACATTGAAAACAACTTCTCTCCCCTCCTTCTCTTCCTCCTCCCTCCTCCCCGACGTCTCCACTTCTCTTCTCGTCTGATTTTCTGTCATTGCTCTCAATTTCCTTGCGACTTGCTGTTCACGCCATGGCACACCTCCGGATTCACCTGTATTGCTTTGTCTCCCTCCTCTTCCGTTTCGTGATTCTACTCCACCATCTCGTTCATCTCATCCTCATCCTTTGTCATCCTCATCTCCATCATCTACTGCCTCCTCCTCGTCCTCCTCACTCTCTTCCTCGTCCTCCTCCCTCTCCCCCTCGTCCTCGTCCCCCTCCCCCTCCTCCATCGCCTCTGCCGTCTGCCAACGTATCTGCATGCCTGAGCGACGGGATCCTTTGAAGTACCCCTACCCCCAAATTATAAGTCTGTTACACCCCTTCATGTGCTGTCCCATTCCCCTTATGGGGGCATCAACAAGAATTAGGGACAGAAATAGAAAATATTTAGGGCAGCAGAAGCATGGGTCCCGCGCGAGGGAGTGGGGTAGGGGGTAGAGGTATCAGGTAGTACGACACGGGGTGGGGTATATTGAGTGGTGTGGGGTGGGTTTCACTCCTATGATTGGTATGTATAAAATAGAGGCCTTGAGGGGAATTGCGTTGTGGGTAGTCAGTTGGAAATTCGGGGTAGGGTCCACAAGAAAGTCAAAAATTGCCCTGGGTGGGTAGTTGAAGGTGGGTGGTGGGTGGGTGGTCGTACAACAAGATCCGACAGAGGGTAGGGTAGGGTGAGCGGAAGTTTGACATGTCCATCGGTGGACTCTCAGCAGAGGAAGGGAGAGGAGGAAGAGGACGAGGACGAGGAGGACGAGGAGGACGAGGAGGACGAGGAGGACGAGGAGGACGAGGAGGAAGAGGAGGAGAGGAGGAGGAGTAGCCTAGTTGGATACGGTACTACGTGAGAGAGCTCGAGGAAGCGAGATTGCCTTTCTTGAACGAGCCAAAGGAAAAGGCAAGAACGAAGTAGTTACAAAACGTGTGCAATTTTCCTTCGGCTCTTTGCTACCGTGCTCTGCTATCTTGTCTTGTTCTGTTGACCATTCTCAACAGGTCCTTGGGCTGGGTCTTGACTGATGAGCCACTATCAAGGTCGAGCGCATGTTGTAGACAAGTTGGTCTTGAGGTTCGGTCCGATCCAATCCCCAGGGAAGCAGCAGCTTCTGATAGCGCTTTAAACCCGCCTGCTCGACGTCCCTGCTGCCCCCGGTCGTGCTGAAAGATGCAGAAGTTGAACATTCCTCGGAGGTTGAATGCAGCATCACCCACGGCGATGGTCGGGGCAAGAAATCGACCGAAGCAGGTGTTAATGCGCAATGACATCTTGAAGGGCATGCTGACGAGTTGCTTCTTTCCTTGCCAGCGCGAAGAGCCAGAGTTGGAGGAGGGTACAAACCAGGTGAGACGTTGAAGGCATAGAGAGACGAGAAAGAGCATGAGCAGAAACATGAGCAGAAAGACGCACAAGACCTCTGCGAGAGACGAAACAGGGAGAGAAATCGTCAAGTGTAGGGATAGTCTAGGGTCAAAGCAGTCTCTCCCTCCTGTACTCATACCTGCAATGCAGGTTGAGGTTGCGGGGCAGGAGCCTCCTCAGTCGCCCGTTCCTCGTCCGTCTAGAAACCTTAGCGAAGATTTCGTGGACGAGCTGGGAATCCACTCGGAGAACATCACGGTCGGTAGCTGGCTGGCTGTCGGGCTGGGGATGACATGGAGAATTTAAGGTGATGGTGAGAACGAGGCCGCTGAACGAGCTGGAGCGAACTCGGTGAGTTATCAGTGACTGGAGGAGATGATGGTGATGGTGGAGGGGGGAAGAGGAGGGGCTGGAGGGAGAAGGGGCGGGCGGGGAGGAGAGAGACAGAGACACAGAGAGAGAGGAGGAAGAGGAGGAGGTGAGGGTGGAGAGGGAGGAGAGGAGGAGGTGAAGGTGGAGAAGGAGGAGAGGAGGAGGAAAAGGATGTGAAGGAGTGTCAGCTACGGCTCTGAAGAGTGCATGGAACTTGATGAGAAGGGAGCGAGTGTCAAGGTAATCTCATTGCTGTCTGATATGTTTGATCTTCATCGCATGTTATGGTCGTGAAACGGATTTTGCTGTCTTTGTTGAATGTCTCCTGTGACTCGGAGCTCTAGCTGAAACCAAGCACGTCGAGCCTGACCACTCGCATCGGTGGGATAGAGCGCGGGGTAAGTTGGTTTCTAACCAGTTTACCATCAGCTACCACGACTGGGCCGTACTTCTTCAAGTATGACCACGTGCTGAAAGGAGATTGTTCTCAAGTAAGGCAGACTCGCGTTGTTCATATTCCCGTCTGCTTTCTTTCCGTTCTCTTCTTCCATTTCTGTCTGCTTCCTCCCTGGCTCTTCTTCGCAACTCTCATAAGACCTTAGTCGCGCGTCTTTGACATCGTCGGCAAGAGCGGATGTGAACACTTCCTTGAAGGTGATGGAGAGGGAGCAAGGGAGGTTCTGATGACGATTGTTCAGGCTACAACGTTGCTGTCTTTGCCTACGGCCAGACAGGAGCTGGGAAGACTTACACCATGTACGGAGATGTCACAGAGGTTTGATCGACTTTGACTGGCCGGCGAGCTTGACAAGGTTGCAGATTGTGAGCGAGAGTAACAAGATCCAAGTGAGAGAAGTACCCGCCCAGCTGGACTTGAGCTGACGACACAGTCTCGCAGGTTCCTGAGGAGAGCGGGCTGGTCCCTCGATGCCTCTGCCACATCTTTGAAAGGGTGCGAACAACTTCCTGGCGTGACAAGAGGTCATATTGACGTCAAACTTTTATTGCCTTCCCCCACAGGTGGAGGCGATGAAAGCGAGAGGATGTAGCGTTGAAATCACAGTCTCTTTCATCGGTGATCCTCTCCTGCTTTCCCGTTGCCGGTGACTCTCCCTCCTCCTAGAAATCTACAATGAAGCCGTCATCGACCTCCTCTCTACCGAAGCTAGGCTCCTCACAGTGGTATCCTCCTGTTCCTCTTCTCCCTTTCTCGCCTTTCACTTTGCCCTGACCATCATGCCATGACCTTACCCTCGTGTGATCGTTCTCCTCTTCTTCCCTCTCCTGCTTCTCCTTCCATCGCTACCTGCTTTTCTCTCGCTCTTTCACTCAACTCACTCGAACTCTCAGCGGGAGGATGCCATTCGTGACAGGACGTACGTGGAGGGAGCAGTGGTTGCAGCTGTTTCCAACGTCCAGCAGTGCATGGTGAGACAGGAGGAGACCCATTACAATCCTCCCTTGATTGTTCTCGTTTCTTCCCTCCCTTTGTTTCTCATTGGCATCCATGGATGTTTCTACATGCTGTTCTCCTTCACTTCTTCATGCTCCCTCTCTATCCTTCCTTCTCTCCCTCCCTCCCTCCCTCCCTCCCTCCCTCTTACCTCATTCCTTTCCCTTCTCTCACCTCGCACTCTCCTCTCTCTCTTCTGCTCGTCTCAGCTTGTGACCTTGTCAGAACCTTCTCCTCCGAGGGGCTCAAAATCGCACAGTCGGCGCAACTGCCATGAACACAGAAAGCAGCAGGTGAAGATACCGTGATAGAGGAATGAGGAAAGGCAGAAGACGGAGCAGCAGAAGGAGATGGAGCAGGATGAGATGGAGCAGGAAGCAGCAGCAGCAGCAGCAGGAGGACACTTAGCGATGGCTTCTCATTGGAGTACGTTGAAATTCTTCTTGTTCAGGTCTCACAGCGTCTTCACCATCTCGCTAGAAGCAGAAGAGAAAGATGCGGTAAGTACTGTTGGGAGACGTCAAGATGTAAGAAATTGAGAGACGATGACGTCACGAAAGCGGAGAAGCGAGAGAGGAGGGGAAATGGGGAAGAGGAACAGAGCAAGGGAGGAGATGATGTTCAAATCATAATTTCCTTTTGCAAGAATGATCGCAGACTTGTTCGACAATCAAAGTTTGAGCTCGTAGACCTCGGTTAGACTCTCCTTTCCCTCCTTCCTATCCCTCCATGTCTTCACACTGTTGACCTCCTGTTGTCCCTTTCTCCTCTCCTCTTGTTCCCTCACTCCTCTCCCCCTCCTTCCCCTTTCTTCCCCTCTCTTCCCCTCTCTTCTCCCTCTTCCTCTCTGTTCGCACTTGAACTCACTAGTCTGCAGCTGGATCGGAGCGACAGAAGTACAGCAGAGCAGAAGGAAGGTGAGGAAGAAACGAGCAAGTGAAGAGAAGGGGAGGGGAGGGAGGGAGGGAGGGAGGCAGGGAGGCAGGGGGGGGGAGGGACGCGAAGGAGGGGGGATGTGACGTTGATGGCCATAGACATCTTCGAGAAGCAAGCAACATCAACAGATCTCTTACTGTCTTGGGAAAGGTCAGCCAAATCCTTCCCATCACCTCTTCTTAGCTTCCTCTCTTTCTCCTTCTGCTCCTCCCAATTCTTCAGCTCTATTCACTTAAACCCTTCAATTCTGTATCCTCCTCCATCTCTTCCTCCCTCGTCTTCATCTCCTACTGTCCCCTCCTCTTTCAACTGTCATTGTCCCCTTTGCGTCTCTCTTGCTCTGTTTCTCACTGCCAGCAGGTCATCATGGCACTCGCTGCAGGAAGCAAACATGTTCCTTATCGTGACTCCAAGGTTTGACACCCTGGTTGACAAGCGACTATGACAACCTGGACAGTTGACGTTCCTGCTGAAAAACTCCATCGGGGGAAACTCAAAGGCAAGACATTGACTGCTGCTTCTGCTGGTGCTGCTGCTGCTGCTGCATCGTCTCAACTTGTACTTCAGACGTTCCTTATCGCAAACATCGGGCTTTCGCCAAGATGTCAAGACGAGAGGTCATCTCCGTTGACCCGCTTGTCAAACGAGTCACCCTGACTGATTGACAATCAGCCTGTCAACCCTCAAGTTCGCGTCGTTTGCCAAGAAGCCTCTCATGAACGTGAGCAAGAACGTGACCAACAGAGACGCGACAGTCGGTGAGTCAAGAGAGTCAACGGCCGTCCGCTCATTGTCAACTGAACCTCATTCAGAGGATCTCCGCATGGAAATCTTCCGGCTACGACAGCAGGTGGAAATTTCCCAGCTCGCTCCCACCTCCTCTCACCTGCTCTGCCTAGCTGGCCCGGGGGAGGATGCAGAGCGACGGGCTGCTGGCCGACAGCTTCACTCCCAACTTGTCATCGGGGGTCGAGAGGCTCCTCGGGGAGTCAAAGATGGGAGGTGAAAGTCCTACGTTCCCCCAACCCTCCACCCCAGACGTGTCAAACTCCGGCTGTCAAACCCGCTGACCGTTGAGACCCAGGGAGTGACAACCCGTTTGACATCGAGTATACCAAGAAGCTGGAGCTCCTGCTCCGACAGGTCGCTGGGTGGCAGCTGGAGGTCAGCTGACTAGGAAGGGGCAGGCGCTGGAGCGAGAGAACGACCTGAGGATGAAGCTGAACAGAGAGAAGCAGCAGTTCCGCATCAAAGTCACAAGCTAACAGTCTGCGGCGAGCGAACTGACTGGATGGCAGCTGGACGAGTACGAGAGACTCTGCAAGTCGTTGGAGCAGGTGGAGGAGGAACGAGTAGAGGGCTTGTTGGAGGCGAGAGAGTTGAGGGCGATGGAGGGATGCAGATATAGATGGGTTGCATGTGAACTAGATGATGCTGGACGTTGAGACGTTCTGCTCGTGTATGTTTGCCCTTATGTTTCTCCTCCAGTGTCTTCAAAGTTCGAAGATGATCATCAGGTTCAAAGACCTCAAGCTGCGCGACGCCAGCACAAATGCATCTCAGGTGAGATAGGAGGAGGAGGAGGAGGAGGAGGAGGAGGAGGGGAAGCGGGATTAGCAGTAGCATCTGGAATAACTACCAGAAAATGAACGAGGGGAAAGGAGGAGAGGATGAAGAATTGGGTCTGAAATTTGCTCGCAGGATCTTTCGGTGGATGCAAATCAAGTGAGAAGATAGAAATATCAATGACATGCTACTGACTCAAACCTTGTTCTCCTCGTCCTCATCCACCCCATCCACCTCTCCCTCTCTTCCTCTTCTTTCCCCGCCCTCCTTCTCCTCCTTCTCCTCCTTCTCCTCCTTATTCCTTCTTTTCTTGCCATCGTTTCTCCACAACGATGATTGCTGTTCTGGCTCTGCTTTCCTCCCCCTCCTCCCTCCTTCCACAGGCTGCGTCACAGGTCAACCCACAGATGGTCCGAGCCAAGATCACCATCCGCTCCCTCCAGGCAAGACGACAAGAGGAGAGGACAGCAGAGCACAGCAGAGCAGAGCAGAGCAGAGCAGAGCAGAGCACGAGTGGGGAGTGGTGGGGAGATCGGTCTGAGGACAAACAAGAGAGGACAGGACAGCAGAGGACAGCAAGACATGGTAGAGCACAGGAGGCCATAGAGGAGGAGACTATAAGAACGATAGTGAAGAGTTTGCGGATGGTGAAGGGAGGGAGTTGGATGCGAGGATATGAAGGTGGAGCTGATTGAAGAGCAGGAGGAACTGAACGCTCTGCGAGGAAGCGACGCGCAAGAGAGGTAAACATGACGTTCTGCTGGCTGGAAGCTGAACGAACTGCAGAGCTGCTGAGCGAATGGCGTTGGACATGCACGTCGCAGGTTGGGGAGGAGGAGGAGAACAGGAGGGAGGAAGGGGAGCTGACTGGAGAGGACAGAGCTGAGCGACGAGGTCAAGATTCTGCTGGACAAGGTGAAGGAGGAGGACAACAAGAGGCAAGCGAGAATGACGATGAGCAGGTCCATGAGCTGGAGAGCACGCGGTCGGTTGTCAACACCACAGATCGGGTGAGTCGATGCGAGGAGAAGGAGAAGGAGAAGGGGGGCGGGGAGGGGAGCAGAAGAAGAGGAAGGAGGAAGGAGATGAGAAGAGGAGGGAAAGGTGGGAGATTCGGGGAGCATAGAACGGAGGAAGGCCGACGCTGGTCAAAAAAGAAGCTCATTGATTTACAGGATGCTGTCGCTATAAGAAATGCCTTGCTAGAAAAGGTGCTCCTGTTCTTGATCCCTCTCCCTCCCTCCTCTCCCTCCCTCCTCTCCCTCCCTCTTCTTTTCCTCCTCTCCTTCCCTCCTCTCCCTCCCTCCCTCCTTCTCCCATTCCCCCATTCCTACAACTGATTCTCGGTTCTCAATTTTTGTGTACAGGAGGATCATATACTGCAGCTTGAATCTCAGCTGCAAGTAAATATGCTCCAAAACCAAATCATCATCACTACCATCACCATCATCATAAACTACTTCTTCTCCATCATCATCTTCTCCATCATCTCCTCCATCATCATCGTCATTATCTCCATCATCATCGTTGTCGTCATCATCATCATCATCATCATCATCATCATCATCATCATCTACTTCTCTCCATCATCATCTCCTCCATCATCATCGTCATTATCTCCATCATCATCGTTGTCGTCGTCATCATCATCATCATCATCATCATCATCATCATCATCTACTTCTTCTCCATCATCTTCTCCATCATCATCGTCATTATCTCCATCATCATCGTTGTCGTCGTCATCATCATTATCATCATCTTTATGGTTTCTTATCTTCTGGTGCAGACTGTGTCCATTTCTCTCGAGGAGGAACGAAGAGCACACATCTCAGCGCTTGAGCTCGTGCAGGTGCCAGATGCCTCCTCCTCTCCTCCTCTCCTCCTCCTCCTCCTCCTCCTCCTCCTCCTCCTCCTCTCCTCCTCCTCCTCCTCCTCCTCCTCTGTAACTATGCTTGTCGATTTAGTT